GCATTGCGCACTGCATAGTGGCATTGCGCTTTATAGCGTAGCATGGTGTATCATGGCATTGCATCGCATGATACAACATGGCGCTGCAGCGCTGCATTTTTCCGGGCCCATGGTTTGGCGACAGATCACCGGTCGACTGGTCGATGAGAGCGGAGGAGGAGGAATGAGGAAGGGACAGGATGACATAGATTGCGTTGATTTCAGTATTCATGACTGGCTTGTTGTCTCAATGCACGCGCGGAGCGCGCGCGATGGTTCTAGTCGATCTCTCTCTCTATATAGATATGTGTGTTTATACATATATATATATTTATATATATGTGTATGTATATGTGTGTATATGTATGTGTACATATATTCACATATGTAAAGGTATATGTATGTGTATGTGTGCATCGGTTTACGTATATGCATAGATATACACATATCTATGCATATATGCATAGTTGCATCTCTCTCTATATATATAGCTAGCGAGCATACGACTGCCCAACGCAGCTCCAATGATGTGACGCATGCCAATTCCACCTAGGGCGGGATGCATACGCGTGACTTCTTGGCTGCACAGCGCGGCTTCTTGGCTGAAGTCTCTCGTTCCCTCTCTCTCTATCCCTTTCTCCCCTCCTCTCTCTCTCCCTCCTCCATCCCTCTCCCTCTAGGCCCACAGGGGCACCGCTCCGGCGGTACCGCGCGCTCGCCTTCTCTCCTCGCAGAGGGAGGATGATGATGATGATGATGATGATGATGATGATGAGGAGGAGGAGGAGGAGGAGGAGGAGGAGGAGAGGAGGAGGGAGGAGGAGGAGGAGGAGGGAGGAGGAGGGAGGGGGAGGGAGCGGGAGGAGAGGGGAGGGGGAGGGGGGGGGGGAAAGGGGGAGGGGGAGGGGGAAGAGTAGGAGGAGGAAGAGGAGGAGGAGGAGGAGGAGGAGGAGGAGGAGGAGGAGGAGGAGGAGGAGGAGGAGGAGGAGGAGGAGTAGAGCAGAGTAGTCATTTCAGTTCAAGGGTTTGGCCCGAGATCCAGTAGGGCACATCAGATACCTTTATATACGACCGCATCTTTTTGAGAGGCTGGACCCATGCGCGAGCCCTCGAGGCCCGCGACAATTATTCATCGATTTTCCAGATATCATAACCAGCCTGGCACTGGAGAGCCAAAGCACACCGCCAACAGGAGCGAGTTTTGGCCACAGTGCATCAATTATACGTTCGGCTGGCTGAGCATCACTGTTCGTTAATGTCTGACTATCAAATGAGGCTGCATGGAAATGCGGACGGTGCAACAGAGACGCGAAGAATTGACACAATCGGTGCAAATGCGGCCAAGAATATTCGAACAATTGTCAGCCGTGGCGACAGATATCGGCGAACCGAGGCAAGCAGGACGACGTTGTCCAGAGCTACATCAAGAGGTTTCCCCCCGATGCCGAACAGGGCCGCTCGGACACGTTCGTGCTACAGAATTCAGCCGTCTCGCCAAACATACCAGTTGCTATTCCGCAACAAGAAACGAACACATATGGATTCCATGGCGAACATGGACTGGCAAAACAGGGGATGCGGACCGACACGATATGGAGTTCATGGAGCTCAACGGTTCGCCGGCTTCCTTGCAGCCTGTTTGTGAGCTGGACAAAGCGTGAGGCAGTTTCGCAACCATCCAGGTCAAAGTGAGGGATCTTCTTGCACAGGAGCACGGATATCGAGATGGAGGTTGCCCGATTGGAGATTTGTGCGGACGAAACGGAATAGATGCCACACGAGCTAGACAAACCAGGATTTGTCAGAGTTGGGCCACCTGGGTCTTGGGCTGGGGAGCAGCAGCAGCAGGCGTAGCCGCAGTATTTCACACATGTGGCGCACGCCCTTTCGTTCCCAGTGCGGGGCAGCTCATACTAGGCGCCATGGCGCAGCAGACCCCAGCGGCGGGAAACCACTGGCGGCAAATTTGGCAGCGGAGCCCTGACAGACAACATTGGCAACGCTTGCGCTACATACGGAGCCGCCAGTTACGGCAGCTCCAGCTTTGACATAAGAGTTGGGCACCTTCGTAGAGATTGCGAATCAGCGCCAGCAGGGGCAGGAGCATATAGATAACACAAGTAATCGCTTGGTACATCGTCGGGGTACGACAGCTGCGGCAACGGCACCTGCGGGGCCTACTCCAGCAACTCCGGCCCAACCGGCGTCATCAGGCTCGGCGTCGCCACCTCGAGGAGTTTCTGCGCCAGTTGCGCCGCCATGGGTCGCGCCAGTCACCCCGCCAGGGGCGATGTCACCATCGTGGGCGGCGCCCGCTGCGGCAGATATGGGATATCTTATTCCGGTAGGGAGAGGTATGGTGGCTTCACCTTCGACCCCGCCGTGGCAGGCTTCCCCCGCGCGCATGAAGGCAGAGGGTTCACGCAGTCCAGCAGTGGAGGCTTCAGGCGGCTTCAGTCGTGGTTGCTCCTTCCCACCTAGCCCCAGTCGCGCCGATCACCGCCGCCGAACCGATAGGGCATCGCGCGGAAGGGCCCGACCTGCAGCGGATGGCGCCGAAGCAGTCGATCGCAGAACAGGGCGCGACGGCGTCGCAGTTCAAGTGGAGGGTGGCGAGCATCCAGGATCGAGGCGACCTGAGCAGTTGCGAGTTCGACGGTGCCGTGCGCGGCGTCGGCGGCGCCGGCGAGAGCGACTACGAGCGGCGAGGATCTGGCCCCGTTTCACGAGTTCGCAAAGGCGAAGTCGATGGGGGGCGGGCGAGAGGCATCGGAGAGGTGCACTAGGCAGCCGGATTAGTTCACAATGCTCCTTCAAATAGTGGTACACTCATCTCGGTCTGGGTCTTGCCGCGCTGCAATTTGCGCGAGATTGCCGCTCGGGGGTCGCAATTTGGAAGTCGAGGCCGCTGAGCCGCAGAAGGGGTCCTTTGCTGCGGTCGATTATCGAGAGAACCCGCTTCGCATCTGAAGCTAGAGCGCAGCGTGGATGAATGGGCCGCAGGCGTAGCGCTGCCGCCCGTAGAGCGGACTGAACAGCCGCGAGCGCAACGAACGAGACCAGCGGTGCAACGGCGCCGACGCCCAGGGGGGACTTTTGACTGCCATCATTGACGGGGCAAGTGGCTTCAAGCGTCGCCCAGGGGCTTCGCAGGGGGCGCGGCGCCGAAGCGTGAAGTTCCGACGCAAACAGTGGGGGGCGATGGGGCGCTCAAGCGCGCGTTCCCCTGCCTTGCCGGGGATTCGGGAGCTGTTTCAGCGATCCTGGGTCAGCCTTGAAAATCTTCAGCGCGCAGAACCTCATGATGCTGCCTCTGCGGGGCCCTCGGGCGCAGCGGCGTTGAAGGCTTCCCCATCGACGGCCTGACGTTGTTGAAGGGCCAGAGCTGGAGGCCATCCACTGTCCCGCGACGGCTCGCTTCGCAGATTAGGCGATGGGGTTCGGGGCGCGGGGGCAGGTCGCGCACCTCGCCGGGCCATGGCCGTGGCCTTTCGGAGTTGATCTGTGGGTCAGCGCGAGTTCGCCCAGTGATATTACGCAGGTGGAACCTTTGCCCTTCTGCCAGCAGAAATGAAGGCGATGCTGCCGCCATTCTCGTTGGTGGGATCGACGTTGCCGCCGCGGCCTTGACGGCCTCGGCAGCGCGTGCGCCGCGCGCCAGCGGCGCGGCTGGAGCGACGCGAGGTGCGCGCCCCAACGTTCGTTTTGTCGACGGCAATTGCCGCATCGATGGGTGCGTGGGGGGGGGGGGGGGGCTCGGGGCCAGGTCGCGTGGGCAGGCGGGGCGGGTGGCGGCGTTGACATGGGGGGCGTCAGAACCGAAGGGTGGCTGATCGCATTCGCGTTGAAGGTTGCCCGCGCCTCCACGGGTGGCGAATGTGATTTCGCGTTCGTTTCCGACAAGCTCGCGCCGCGCATCGGTTTGACTATGTAGCGGTGGCCCAGATTTTTCGGGTTCAGGCCATGCCGGGAATGATCGGTGAGCGCCAGGTTGACCTCGTCAGGGAGGCTCGCGACCCTTCTCATTGCTCGACAACCCGCCAGAGTTTGCCCTCGCCTGACAGGAACAGGATGCCCCAGAAAGGGCTGCTGCTGGTGTTCCAGCAAGCCGCCAGTGAATTTCAACGCGGAGATTGCGCGGGCGACTCAATGCGCAGCTAGGAAACACCAGCGCCCGCGTGCTTCATGGTGCCAGGGCCGCCTTCGAACGGTGCCATGTTCGGCGTGGGAAATCGCTCGTCAGCGCGGGATCACCATGGCTCGCCCGAGATCGCGGGGCCGCCAGGGCGCGCCCATTCCCGCGCGCCGCAAAGACGGCACGCGCGCTCTGCAGCATGGCGTTTCGTCGTCGCAGCGCCCCCATCACGAGGGCGATGTCGCGCGCGCGGTGGCGCGAGGAGATGTCGAGACGGGCCCGCTGCGGGCCGGCCTGGCCGCCGCGCGCGTTCGCCTCGCAACCGCCGCTGGCGACTTGTTGCTGGCGACGTAGGTTCCTCCCGAAGGGTGGATTTTGGGGCTCGCGCGCGTCTGCGCCCGCCGCCCGCGAAGTTTCGCTGTGGGTTTTGGGCGGGCATGCGCAGTTCAGTGGATTGGCGGGGGGCATCGCTGCCTGCGCTTCTCGACGGGGGCGGCGGCTTCTTTGGGGCCCCTTGCTGCGCGGCGGCAAGCGCGGCGAAGCGCCGGCTTCTTTGCCGAGGACTGCGCCGGACGGGGCGCCCTTGACCGTGCCGCAGAATGGCGCAGATTATATGTTGTTTTGTCTTGGCCAGGCTGAGAGAGCGAAGCCGAGCGCTGGGCGGCAAGTCGGGCGCGCTTATCACGCGAGGGGCGCGAGCGTGCGCGGCGACGCGCCGCTGGGCGCCCTCGGCGCCGCGCCGGGCCGGGGAAAGTAGAAATCCCGAGGGCAGTTCAAACGTGGAACGGCGGGGGGGCCTGACATAATGCAATGGGCAATGATGTCTTCTGCCGGAGCTTGAAGGGGCGGCTGGAGCTGGCCGCCCCGCCCCCGTGGACGCGCCGGCGTCTGGGCGCGAGGTCTAGTTTGCAGCGTGAAAGGGGGGCTCGCAGCCAATTCGCCCAACGGGAAAGGGGGCCAGATTGACGCGAAAGCAAACAAATCCAGAGGGCCTCAAGGCGCGCGGCAAGTTCGCCCGAAACTTGGAACTTCGCTGCTATTTGCGCTCGCGACAACCAGTGCGGAGGCTTCGACGGCGGGGGCGCCCATTTTGCCGCCACTTTGCGTGATGCTGTTTTTCGCGGAGGCAAGGGGGGGTCTCCGCGATGGGGCTGTGCCATGACCTCGCTGCGGCATCTCGGCGATGGGCCAGGTGGGCCCTCTGCCCCCCCCCGCGCTTATGCATTGTTCTGGTGGCCCTGCATGGCCGCCCGTTCCCCCGACCAGCAGGTTGGAGACGAGCGCTTTTTGGAGTTGGACTGCGGGGCCCCAGCTGGGAGGCGGCGGGAAGTGCGGGGCGCCCGCAAGTTTGCCAGACCTGCGCTCGGGGCCCGCCCTGGCGCCTCTTTTGGCGACTGACTGCTTCGACGCGGCTCGTTAAGCCCATCGTTGTCGATGGTGGGCAAGAACTCGAGAGGGGGGGGGATGGCTTGGAGGCCGCGGCAGCGAGGGCGCATATTTCCAATGCTTCAGGGCTGGCAGCGCGCCTACAGCCCCGCTTCTTTCCTGGGCGGCCTCTCGTCGGCGGCTGTGGGAGACGCGCGGCCCGCCCCCGACGGCGCAGCTGATCTGGCTGATCTCGCGCGCCGAACGACCGCCAGGCCTGGGCCGCAGCTCCGCGCCCGCGACGCTCGCCTCATGCTTTCGAAAGTGGGCGAACTCCAAAGAAAGGTCAAGCAGCACCTGGCCAAGGTCCACGGCGAGTTTGGCCCCCCCTCCCGCCTCTTTGCGGCATCTCCGTCAAAGCGGTCAAGCGCGCCGAGGGCCTTAGCGCGACGGTGGATGGGGGGGGGGGCGGCGCGGCGGCGAATCGCCGAATGTCCCAGGTGCGGCGCGGGCCGCGGCCTATTCAGGTTGCCCCTGGCAGAGGAAGAGCAGCTTAACATTCTGACGAGAGACATCGCCCAGTCCAAGCTCTGCTTTAAAGCGCGTGAGAGGGGGTCTGTCTGCAATGGGATTCGCGCCGAGCTTGCCAGTGCCCATGCCGCTGCGCACCGCGCCGCGCCGGGCCTCTCGTTGGCCTCCAACTCGAGGCGCCGCGTTGTGCATGGGCCATCCTTCAGATAGTCAAATGGCCATGGTCAGGATGGCCATGGCCCTTTGACGCGGGTCAGATGCCCAGTTCGGACTGCGAAGGCGCCCCCCATGGGGCTCAGGGTTGTGCTCGGTCGTCTCTGGGCCGCCCACTCTAGCTGGGTCGGCGCCGCGCAGGGTGGCGCCATCAGGTAAAATCGCAGGGTCAACGAGCTCGATGCGCCCTGGGCGGGCGCGGCGGAGCGCAGGTTGAAAGTGGCCCAGGGTGCGACTAGACAGTTCACCGATGTCGCCGCTGAGGTTGGCCGCCGCGAGCTTTCCCTGCAACGGCAGAAGCGGCTCGCAGCGGCTGAGGCTCATGGGATGGCCCCCCTGTTGGCCGAGCCAGCCGGCGATCGGGGCCACCCGTTCCATCCGAGATGTGGCGTTCCTGCTGCGAGCGCGGGTTTGCCGGTGGAGCTCGAAAGGAACTCTCTCGGCGCATCCGGGCAAGTTTCGCTTGTCTCCCCGAGCCCCTGGCGCGTGGGCCACGGGGTCAGCGCGCCAGGGTCGCACGTTCCGAGTCTCCACGCGAGGCCGGCTGGTCAAGCGCCTCGAGCGACGAGCTGCGTGCAGCAGGGCCCGCGCCGATCTGGGCGGGGCGCCCGGCCCCGATGAGTTGCGCGAGAGCGTGGAGAGAGCGCCGAGGTGCAAGAGGACAACGGAAGGAGGGTAGACACCAGCGCCGCGCTGAGATGGCAGTCTTCAGACTGATTGGCCCTCCGCCTGCCGACGCGCAAGGTTTCGGGGGAAGCGCCGCTGTCGATGCCCCGTCGGCGGCCGATCAGGCCGCCGCCCCTGTTGTGCCAGCTCCGCTCCGCATTGCTCGGCGTCAAGCTTTTGTTTTCTGTTCATTGGCGGGGGCGCGAGACAGGTCGCTTCTTGTTGCCGAGACTTTGACGTTGCGGCGCGCGCGAGAGCGCCCGGTGCGACCCTCGGCCGCGCCGGCTCCAATTCGACGTGGGCAGGACATTTGGCCACGTGGCAAGGCAAACTCAGCAGTGCAGGCCTGGAACGTTGCGCGATGTGGCCCATCCCTGGGGCAGAATTTGTTTGCGATTTCAACGAGAGACAGACCGCCGAATCCGAGTATCAATTTTTCAGGGCGGCCATGGTTCTCGGTGGGCAGGTTCGGGCTTTTGATGTTCCTTGGGTTGTTGTGTCGAAGGACTGATGCTCCTCAGCGTCCCGGCGTTTTGCAATCTCGCCCAGGACTGTCACTCAGACTGCCCAGGTCGAAGCACCCGTGGGGATGGGTCTGCACATGTGACGGGCGATCGAAGAGATCGGCGCATTTTGTTCGGGTCTCACGGCCACTTTCATTGCCGAAAGGGGGCGGGGACGCAGGGGGGATCATTTGCATGTGCGCGAGAGCAGGACGGGGTGTTTTTGGGGTGCGCCTGCCTGCACAGCCATATCAGTTTATCTTTGACATTTTTAGTCATGGATGGCTTGAGGCGTGCGCTAAGCAGGTGGATTTGGATAAAGTCGGGTTCTCTGCTGGCAGTGTGTCTTGGAATCCTCTTGACCGGTGTCCGCTTGCCGACTTAAGCTTTGGGCCGCTTTCCTCGGCAGATTGAGTTTTATTGGTTTGGGGCCCCAGATGCCACGACGGCCTATTGCATTCGTTCCTTTTTTTTTTCTGGGCTTCAGCGCGCGCGCGTGCGTCCGCGCGCGAGGAGGAGGAGGAGGAGGAGGAGGAGGAAAAGGAGGGGGGTCGAGGAGGAGAGGAAGAGGAGGAGAAGGAGGAAAAGGAGGAGGCGGAGGAGAGGGAGGAGGAGGAGGAGGAGGACCAGTGCAAACCCAAGAGGTATTGGAAGAAACCCTCCTTCCAAGCTCCTACCTCATAGGCTTTTACATCGGTCGTTTCCCATTGAGGGAACTGATTCGTTGGAAGACGACCGCTTGAAGACCCGGAAGCTCTCGAAAACATTATTCTCGGGACTCCAACGCCACCAATCAACCTGACTGTTGCGTCTTGGCGATCCTGAACCCTGAAGCGTGCCAGAACGCCATAAGTGGGACTTCAACACTGCGAATCACCATAACTGTTGCGCTCTCATAATCCTGAACCTTTCCAAAACACACTTTCTGATGCGCTGATCATGGAAATCCGCGAAACCCTTTTAAATATTTGAAGCGACTGTGCGCGGCGCTACGGCGAGAGCCGCGTTTTGAAGAATCCCGCGCCTTCAATCAGTTAAATGTTCCGCAAATGTTTGAAACGAATGTGCGCGGCGCCAAGGCGAAAACCACATTTTGAGAACGACCCGCCTTCACTCCATGAAACGCTTGCACATGTTTAAAAACGAATGCGCGCGGCGCTAAGGCGAGATCCACATTTTGAAAGCCACCCGCCCTCAATCCGCGAAGCGCTTGCAATTTTTCAAAATCGAAAATGCGCGGCGCCAATGCGATAATCACATTTTTAAAACGACCCGCCGTCAATCCGTGAAACTCCTGCAAATGTTTGAAGCGAATGTGCGCATTGCTAAAGCGAGAACCAAATTTTGAGAACGACCCACCGTTACTCCGTGAAGCGTTTGCAAATGTTTAAAACGAGTGTTCGATGCGCTGAAGCGAAAGACGCATTCTGAAAACCACCCGCCCTCCATTTGTGATTTTTTGGTTGGGCCAACTTCTTACATTCAGGATCAGACGGGGTAAGAAAGTCAAAGGCGAAACGCCCGGCCCGTCCTAAAATCTGTCCCTGGGGTGCTACATGGAGACGTAATGTAGAAGGAAAGGATTGGAGGAGGAGGAGGAGGAGGAGGAGGAGGCGGAGGAGGAGGAGGAGAGGAGGAGGAGGAGGAGGAGGAGGCCCCCCCCTCGCTCCCCGTCCGACCTGCGGCGGAAGCGCCGCGGCCCCGCCGAGCCCACTGTCGGCGGGCCGCGCCCGGAGCCGGCCCGGCCCTTCCACCAGCGCGCCGCCACCGCCCGGCGCGCCGCCGCCCTCGCCGCTGCTGGAGACGCGGGCTCGTCGGGCCGCGGCGATCGTCGCCGTGGCCATGGGTCGCGGCCGTCGTCGTCGCGGTGGTGATTGTGGCCGTCGGCGGGGGGGGGATGGGGAAGGGGAGAAGAAAATAGGAAGAGGAAGAGGAGGAGGAAAAGGAAGAGGAAAAGGAACAGAAAGAGGAAGAGGAGGATGAGGAGGAGGAGGAGGAAAAGGAGGAGGAGGAGGAGGAGAGAGAAAGAGGAAATGGGAGTGGAAGGAGGATGAGGAGGTGGAGGAGGAAAAGGAGGAGGAGGAGGAGGAGAAAGACGAGGTGGAGAGGAGGAGGAAGAGGAGGAGGAGGAGGAGGAGAAGGAGGAGGAGGAAGAGGAGGAGGAGGAGGAGGATGGCGGGGGGGGCAAGTGGGGAACTGAGAGAGACGCTGGGGGCAGGGGCAGAAAGGGAGCAGGGCGGAGGAAGGAGGGGGGGTGCAGGAAGGGGAGAAGGGGGGGAGGGGCAGGGGCAAGTTGGGGGAAAGCGGAAGGAATCAAAATCAGTACGAAACGCCGAACATAGTTACACAGGAGGCGTTCCGATAATGGCTTTGCCTTCGAGGATCGAAGGAGTTGTTATCTCTTCCGCCGCGGAAGGCGGCGGAAGGGCGTCGGAATGTCGGTGGAAGTAAAACGATGCCGCCTCCGCTGGCGGAAGCTGGCGGAAGGGCGGCGGAAGGTGGCGGAAGTACAAAATGCGCCCCCCAGAGATGAACGAACACGTCTTGGGGTTCAGGATTTTGGGAATCCGCCACATACACATGCGCATGTGCATGCGGAGTGAAACGAATCCTGGCCAGAAGCGGCGATGCCTACTGGTATCGGGTTGGAGTTTGTCTTGCATGGGCACTTGGCCTCGGGGCCACCTTCCCAACGCCCCCAAAACCGAGTGGGATCCCCGGCAGCTGAATTTGCCGCAGGAGGATCCCAAAACGTCTTGATAGGACGTTTGATGTTCCCGTGAATGCTTGGGTGGGGGCCAAGGAGCTGTACGGTGCCCCTGAGTGTTAACGAGAGATTCCCTGAGTTGTTTTTTTGGAGCGCCCCCTCTGAATCCAGGCTTCAGGATCACGGTTTCCTGCCCATGCCTGATTCCTTGCCTCTTGGCTTCATCTTGCCCAGCCCCTTGTCTTGCCTGTCGCCTTGCATTTTGAGTGTTGCCTTATCAACTAGACTGTTTCTTGCATTGTCTCATGCGTTGCCTCTCGCCTGGCCTCCTGTACATCGCTTGCCTTATACATCTGTACATACATATATTTACATATATTTATATGCCATATATTATATATTGTGTATGGTGTATGAGACTGCCTTTTGTATGGTGGTGGACGCTCGCGTTGGGTGCCATGCCAGGAACTGCTGCCCTTCAGCACCCTACTCTTACTCGGCGTGGTATGATGGACGAGCGGTGCCACGAGTCCCCGAGGTAACCCGTGTGGGCAGTGGTCGTACAGGTTGCGCACGCATGCTGGCTTCGCGTGCCCCTCCTTGTGACGCACAAATTTCGAGCGAGTGCGCTCGCCGCCGCTCGGCGCCCTGCTGCTGATTCTCTCTCGCACCGTCTTGCTGGGCCGCGCCGTCCTCGTCGGTCGGGCGGGGGGGTGGGCGTCCGCTGCTGCTCGGCGTGCTGCTGCCTGCTCCCGAGCCTCTCTCGCCACTCCCCCCGCGGATCCCGCCTCGGCACAAGGGCTGCTGTACTGGAGCTTGCGTACCGTCTTGCCCTCCTCTGCCTCTGAGCTCGACTCCCGCTCGTAGCGTTCTGGGAGGGGTGTGCTCTGATGGGAAGCCTCTCGGCCCAGAGTCTCCTGTGCAGGAGAAGCTGCCTGGCATCGGCATGTGCGGGGACGAGCCTTGGTACGACGACCAGGCTTTCCGCAGGGCGCTGCACGACAAGGTCGTCGCCGCGCATGCGGAGCAGAAGATAGTGGTCGGGACGCCAGCGGAGGAGACTCGGAAGCCGGAGCGCGCCATTTCGCGCGTCTGAGTCGAGTGATCGTTGCGAAGCCGAAGCGGCTGCCGAGCAGAGGTTCGACCGTGGGACTGGGGCTTTTGCAGCAACCCGCGCCCTCGAGCTGAGGGATGCACCCCAGCCGGCGCTCCCGACCTCCGACGCCGCGATTCTTTGCTCGATGTGGGCTCTGAAGCGCCCGACCTGAAGCATGTCTCTGTTTCGCCTCTCGGTGGACGCGTAATGGCGGGGCAATGAATGCGGAGGGCTGCGAGGGCTGCAGGAAGTGGGCCCGTCAGGGCCCAAAGAGGGAATCTTTCTCGCTCCCCCAGTAGTTCGCGCTTCAGTCATTCGCGCGCAAGCCTCGGGCCCCTGTCACTCGCGCCCAGGAATTCGCGCCCCCGGAATTCCTCCCCAGTTATTCGCGCCCCGTAACTCGCGCCCCAGTAATTCGCACCTTCTCGGAGGAGATGGAGGAAGAGGAGGAGGAGAAGGAGGAGGAGGAGGAGAAGGATGAGGAGGAGAGGAGGGGGGGGAGAAGGAAGAGGCGGAGGAGGAAGCGGAGGAGGAGGAGGAAGGGGAGGGAGGAACCCTCGCTCGTCGTGGAGGATCACGGCGGGAGGCTCTTGGCTGTTCTATCGGCTTCTGGGGACCTGGGAGTGGGACAATGGCTTTTCGGGAGAGGTTCGAGACTTCCAGGGGCCCCCCGCGTGCCCTTCAGGGCCCAGCTCGCTCCGACCGATCTGGCCCGATATCGATTCCAGCCGGTCCGATCCGATCCGACCCCGGTGCTCCTGCGGTCAGGTGCGGTCTGATGCTTGCACGGCGTTGCTGTGCATTCTGGCGCGGGCGATCGGGTTCTATGCAGACTCCGTGCCGATGCGGTGCGATCCGACGTACACTCTGATCCGTCAGGAGGGGGAAAAGCACACAGACACAATTGATCGTCGATTCCCCAGGAAATATTGGAAAGTATGGGAAGTGGGGGGAAGACGAAAACCCAGAAAATATGGAAAACTATAGGGAATCCTCTAATTTGTGCCTATTCATTTGTGTGTCCCAGGGCCCCCTCGATCCGATCCGACTCCCGACTCGATGCCGACCGATCCTGCCAGCGTGAGGCTTAGCTATGTGCTCTCAAGGAAGAGCACCGCACTGGGGACGCACGGGGAAGCCCTCCCCCCCCCCTCCCAGAGGCAGCGCTAGGGTTCAGTCGGGCCTGTCCCTCTGCAGGGGGAATATTCAAAAATAGTAAAAAGATAGTCTTGGGACGATTTTTTGGACAATTTTTGCATATTTTTATGCTATTGTTTGACTATGTTTCATTTCCTCGTCCAAAATCGGCCTGTAGGGGGACAGGCCCGACTTAACGCTAGGGGTGACAGTGTCAGGGGGGATGCATCGACCCCCAGCTGCCCACTCATCGCCGATATGGGGCCCGACAGGACACCTCGCCCAGGAGCGCGCGAATTCGCTGAATCGGGGGCCGATCGGCGAGCTATCGGCGATGCACCGCCGATTCCAGGTCGATGCTTCCCTTTTCCGGAGCCAAGTGCGCCCCTACGGTCAGGAAGCTTGGATCAGCGTGTCGCTCCCGCGGTTCTGGCCAACCGCCCTTCGGCGCGACACGCTACCCACGTCCCCGCTTCCAAGCGTCAACGCCCCGAGCTCTTCCCCGCCGCACACTCCGCGGAGCGACTCGACACACTATCCGCTCACAGGGCATAGCGTGTGGCCGAGGGCGACGCTGCGACGCGCTAAGCAAGACCGCAACGTTGATCATGCTGATGCTGATGCTGATGATGCTGCTGATGATGCTGCTAATGATGATGCTGCTGATGATGATGATGACGATGACGATGAAGATGACGATGATGCTGATGCTGCTGATGATGATGACGATGGTGATGACGATGATGATTATTATTGGCATGATGATGACGATGACGATAACGTGATGATGGTGATAGTGATGACGATTGTGGTGGTGGTGGTGATGGTGATGGTGGCGGTGATGCTGATTCTGATCATGATGGTGTTGATGAATCTGCTGATGATGCTGTTCATGATGATGCTGACGATGAGGGTGCTAATGATGACATTGTTGATGGTACTGCTGATGACGATGCTGATAGTGATGGTGTTGGTGGCGGTGGTGGTGATGGTGATGGTGATGATGATGGTGATGGTGATGGTGGTGATGATGCTGCCGCCGATGACGACGACGATGATGGGGATGAGGTTGAGGATGAGGATGATGATAATAATGATGATGCGGATGAAGATGGAGATGAAGATGAATATGTTGATGATGATGATGATGGTGGTAATGCTGATGGTCGTGGTGATGATGACGATGTGTATGATTACACATGCTGCTGATGCTGATGATGACCACGATGAGGATGCCGATGAAGATGCTGCTGATGTTGCTGATTATGGTGAAGATCAAGATGATGGTGCTGATGGTGATGATGATGATGATGCTGATAGTGATGATGATGATGATGATGATGATGATGATGATGATGATGGTGATGCTGATGATGACGATGGTGATGACGATGATGATGACGATGATTATGATTATGATCATGATGATTGTGATGATGATGACGACGACGACGACGATGATGATGATGATGATGATGATGACGGCTGCTGACGCTGATGATGCTGATGCTGATGATGATGCTGCTGCTGATGCTGATGATGATGATTCTGATGATTATGATGGTGATGGTGATGGTGATGCTGATGCTGATGCTGATGATGATGATGATGATAATGATAATGAGAATGATAATGATGATGATGATGATGATGATGATGATGCTGATGCTGATGCTGATGCTGATGATGATGATGATGGTGATGATGATGATGATGATGATGATGATGATGATGATGGTGATGATGATGCTGATTGTGTTGATGCCGATGATGACACGCTAATCAAAGTTCCCCCCCGTCGCCCAGGAGATCCCCCGGATACGGCCCCCCGACGGCCGCGTCCTGGCCGCCGGCGGCGTCCTGCGCCTGGGGGGCCGGCGCGGGGGCTACGGCGACGCCGACATCGGGTCGCGCTCCTCCTCCTCCTTCTCCTCCTCCTTCTCCTCCTCCTTCTCCTCCTCCTCCTCCTCCTCCTCCTCGTCCTCCTTCTCCTGTCTTTTCTCTATGCATGATGAATGCGGTCGTACCTTTCACGGTTGTGGGCGTCCTCCTCCTCCTCCTCCTCCTCGTCCACCTCAGGACTCAGGACTGATGGCATGCGTGTCGTGTAGACGCTGGCATGCCTCGTTCACCTCCTCTTCCTCTTCCTCTTCCTCTTCCTCTTCCTCTTCCTCTTCCTCTTCCTCTTCCTCTTCCTCCCTCCCTCCCTTCCTCCTCCCTGATCCTCATCCCGGATCCGCCTCCGTGATCCTTTTCCCCGATCCCCCTCCCCGATCCTCCTCCCTCATCCTCCTGGAGCTCCTGGAGGTACGCCTACCGGCAGCTGTCGAGGGCCCTCCACCCCGACAAGTGCCGCGGCATCCCGGAGGCAGCCAGCGCCTTCACGCGCCTGCAAGAGGCGGCCGACGAGCTCCGGCAGACCCTCGAGCGGCAGAGAGCGAGCGGGGGCCCCCCAACGGGGTGGTGAGCACACCGTGTGGCGAGCCCGTGGGGACTCGGGGTCACCGCACGGTTTCGGGACTTGGGTCGTCCTCCGAGGACGTCTCGGGCGACCGGAGCCTCCGAGGCCCCAAGGCCGTGCGGGGAGGTCTTGCGGGACTGCGAGGTCACCGCACGGTCTGTCACCGCACCGCTGCGGGACTCCGAAGGCGATCCTGCGGGCGATCTGCGAGGGCATGGGCGGCCGCGTCACCCCGCAGATGTCGGAGAGGCCGCAGTGGGCGCTGCTCGCCGAGGTCTCGAGGATGCTGTCCGGGGTCCTGGGCCTGTGCGGGGAGGGGTCCGTGCCGTCGCACACCCAGGCCTCCTCCTCCTCCTCCTCATCTCTCTCGCTCTCTCTCTCTCTCTGTATCTCTCCTCGTCTCTCCTCTTCTCTCTCTCTCTCATTATCCTCCTCTTTCTCCTCCTCCTCCCTCCTCCTCCTCTTTCTCCTCCTCCTCCCTCCTCCTCCTCCTCCTCCACTTTCTCCTCCTCCTCCTCCTCATCCTCCTCCTCTCTTTCTCCTCTTTCTCCTCCTCCTCCTCCCTCCTCCTCCTCCACCTCCTCTTCCTCCTCCTCCTGCTCTTTCCACCTCCTGCTCCTCCTCTTTCTTCCTCCTCCTCCTTCTTCTTTTTGATGAGGTTGCTCGGACACGGATCGAGTGATCGCTGCGTCTGTGTGGCGTGAGAACAAGCAAATACAGCCGACTTAGGCCTGTGAGCATACGAATTTCTGTTGAGGTTGCTCGGACATGGATCGAGGGATCGCTGCGTCTGTGCGGCGTGAGAGCAAACAAAGATAGCCGAATCAGGCCTGTGAGCGTACGAAGTGCGCCTGGCGGGCTCAGCAGAGAATGGATGGACACAAGAGAAACAGAAACATCCTCCTCCTTCTCCTCCTCCTCCTCCTCCCTCCTCCTCCCTCCGCACCTGCAGCCCAAAATGGCAGATACATGCGCTTCCGAACGCCCGCGCAGATTTTTCTTGGATCGGCGCCGGATCCGCCTGGCGGTGCTCACGGCACTGCTACCCATGGAGCCCGTGATTGTTTGTCCATGCCAGTGTCGCCCGCCGATGCATCGGCGATATTGCGCGATCTTCCGACCGCATTTGGTCCGACCCTGCTTGGGAGGCCCCCGATCTTCCGTATTCGACTACAGTAGGGGCGCCGAAGAAGGAACCCTTTTTTGGGGGACGGGCTCGGTGCTCCTTAATTGTTTCACAGTTTGCTTTAGGCTGTCCCAAGGTTCTCCCTGGGAAATCGAAGTTCAATTTATGGAGCAAAGGGGCCTCAGGATCCACGGTACCATGCAGCCTTCGCGCAGATGGCCGCCACATTCCGCCAGGAGCCGCCGAAGGCCGCGGATGGTCGACGGGTAAGAGAGGGTCCACGGTCGAACGCGCAGCTTGTTATCCGCCCCTCCTTTCCCTCCTTCCTTCCCCTTCTCCTTCTCTTCCTCCCCCTCCTCGCCCGCCTCTCCACCACATCATGGCCTTTTCTTTTCACCGTCCCTCCTCCGCTCCCTACTTCTCTTCCTCCTCCTTCATCACAATATCAGAGCATGAATACTACTCTCCCCTTTCCCCGAATGTGTCCTGGGAGTGTTCTCCCCCCTCCGCGTGTTTGTCTACACAGGATTTGCGCGAACGCTTGTCATACGTGTGTTGGAACCCAATTGTTTCGACTTTTTCAACCATGGTGCTCTCGCTGCAGCGTGGGCCTCATTTTCGGATCGGCGCCCAGCGTGGGCCACTTTTCTGGATCCCTCAGGTCCCGGTCCCACAGGTTTCGCAGGTCCCAACAGGTCTCGCAGGACTCGCATGCCCCACAGGTCCCACGGGTCCTACAGGATCCAACAGTGTCGCAGGTCGTCCCTCGGTTCCCACACGTACAGCCGGTCTGACAGGTTCCACCGGTCCCACAGGCCTCGCAGGTCTCAGAAGCCCCACAGGCCCCACAGGTTCCACAGGTCTCACAGGGTCTCGCAGGCCTCATAAGGCCACAGAGGTCCACCAGGTCCCACAGGTCCCACAGGCTTCCTTGTCCCGTCTGCTCGTAGCACGATGGTTTTCTGTTGTGGAGCTCCAGGTGGGCGATGACACGCGTCCGCGGGTAGAGGGTATAGAGAACACATCGGCGCAGTGCGAAGGGACGGGAGGGAGAGGGACAGGATGTCAGAGACGGTGCCAGCGCGCCCAGCTGGTCCTCCAGCCTCCATCCATCCCTCGTCCTCCTCCTCCTGCCCCCGCCCCCTCCCTCTCCGTCCCTTTCCCCCTCCTCCCCTCCCCCCTGGCGCAGGTCCGTGGGGCCGCCGTCTTCACCGCCTGCGCAAGGTACCACGGCTGCGAGCCGGCGGCGCTCCTAGCGATGTGGTTCGAGGGCGGCGACCTTCTCGAGAGCGTCGGCAGCAGCGCGGTGCGCGGCTGCCTGCGGCCCGTCCCAGGAGGAAGCCCCCGTCCTCGTCCTCGCCCTCCTCCTCGCCTCTCTCTCTCTCTCTGTCTCTCTCTCTCTCTCTCTCGCTCTCTCTCGCTCTCTCTCTCTCTCTCTCTCATTCTCTGTATCTCTCCTCGTCTCTCCTCTTCTCTCTCTTCCTCATTCTCCTCCTCTTTCTCCCCCTCCTCCCTCCTCCCCCTCGTTCTCCTCTTTCTCCTCCTCCTCCTCCTCCTCCTCCTCCTCCCTCCTCCCTCCCT